CATGTTAGAAATGTTAGTGATGTCCCACACATCAGTGAAGCTGGTTTAATCCAAACTTGAAAAGCCACAAGGCAAATTTCATTATGTGTGCCAATGAAGAGGCATTTTCATACTGTGACAAACAAAATCCCAGCAATATTCGCTTTGGCATTTCAGTGACTTGCATTAAGCTTTGACTGTGAGCAGAGAGTATGGTGGGCATCAACAACAGTCAGATCGCTGCAGTGGTTTATGTCAAGGACTATAAGGTTCTGTGTCTGTTGTTTCCAAGTTGAGATGTTCTGCCCTTTGATGTTTCCATAGCTTTACTAAGCAAAGAGATCATGATCAAACATATCCATTGTATCTATTTTATCAATAACCGTGCAAAGTTAACAGATAATATTTTCCCCTTCATCCATCTGTACATCTATAAAATAAATGTTAGCATCAAAATCTTGTGGAATGTTTAAAGTTGAGTTTAAACTTGGTGACTACTACATATCAGTAATGTGACACTGATTCATGTTTAATACATATATTATATAAATATACCTGTATATTTATTGGTAATTATAGAAGAAATTGTAAGGGAAATACATGAGCAACCAAAAGGTGTTATACAGGTTGGGACACACTGTGCATAATGTATAGTTCCATAATTGGAATACGTCTCAGTTTCATTTTAGAAACTATGTGTATTTTCAATACGGCTGCACGATAAATCGTGATTCAGATCCCTGTGCGATCTCGGTCTCACCTGACAATGGTTGTGCCATGTTTGTTTTAACAGGGTGATGCCTTGCATCAAACCAAGGTGTTCCCTTTTCCCCGCTAAGCTGTGTTAATTGTTACATCACATGACGAGCTGTAGACAGGAAGAGAAGACGGATTCAAAAATAAATCTGATATGTTTGACATTGTGAAAGATATTCTCTGATAATTTTCAAACATCGTGCTGCCTGCCCTGTACACCCAGTGCCGAATAGCAGTTGAGGCATAAATAAACCACTTTGTGGGGTTTGGTTAATGCAGCTTAGTGAGGAAAAGTTTAAGTTTGGTTTGATGGAAGGCATCTCACTGCTAATGCAAACACAGCAGAATTATTGTCACATGAGACTGAGATTCCACAGTGATCTAAATCACAGAACGATTTTCAATCAAATTCAGGGGCAAAATACTACTACTACTACTACTACTACTACTACTACTACTACTACTAATAGTAATAATACACTTGGAAAAAGCAATCTGCTGCAGTTTGGCAATACCTGCTCATTAGAGACAAGTCAGGTTTACCACACCAGTGATGTTAAACACAATCGGCTTATGTGGTCTTAGAACAAATACCTGAATTCTACGAACAAAAATGCTGCTATATAAAAACGTTGTGACTAAGGAAAAAGGTCAACATACTGCATTCATTAATTCCTACTGATTTGTATGTAAGTAGCAAGCCTGTGAATGACTACTGTTTTAATTTACAAAGATAAGAATATTGTTTTCCCATCAAGCCTTCATTATGAGTGCTCACAATGGTAGGATATTAAACAGTACACATAGATGGATTGTAATTAGACACAAGACTGATAAGATAAAGTCTTTCAGTCCTTTGACCTGTCCACACTCACACATCCCACATACACAGGTAGAGGACAGTCTGTAATAATGCAAATAGAAAAGAATAGGGATGTATGCCACCACCTTTTCTCAGACCGAGTACGAGTATTTACGCTCGAGTACTTGCACCAATACAAGCATTTAACAATAATGCAGTGTTTCTATTATAAAAACTACAATTATCATAAAAGTGCAATGACTTCAGAGACAGTTTTTATTTTCATGAGATTTACTTTCTCAATATAATTACATAAACTATACAACAGGAGGCTGTGCAAATTATCTTTAGAATTTGTGTAAACAAATATGGCACTGCTACCAAACCAGTTAAATGTAACGTGGAACTGACTGAACTTCAGTACTACATAACATACTGTAATACCATGGTTCTTCAGCTTTTTTAGAAGAGCAACAACCTTAAAGAATGAAATGTTTCGAGTCTAATTTTCATTAGACTCAACTGTTAACTGCATCAAATTAGTGTTTGTTTTCTTCTCATTCACAACAATTTTCACTACAATCAGCAGAACAAATACAGAGGACTAAGTGGGCTGACTGCACATTTCTTTAAGTCTGTATTGTGCTTGTCCAACAGGTGTTTGGACAAGTGTTCATACTTTGTCCAGTACTGGTGGGTTTTGGTTTACATTTTGAGCACTGTCGTCTTGAGTAAAATATATCTTTGGCTCTACTCCGCTGTGTGTGTGTCTGTGATCGCCCCAGCAGGGCTTGCAGTCTGCTTTACTTCTGCTTTCATCACTTTTCTTAAAAGATCCTCAAACCACTGAAAAACTACCTGCTCAATCAGCGTGAGGTAAAGTATTGTTGCCATCAAGCGGCATGGGTGCATAGCATTGGACAACTTTTAGTAAAGGAAGGTGGTATCAGGCCTCATACCCCATATGGGATTTGGTGCATCCACAGAAAACAAAAGCTATGTAAGCTATGTAAGTACAATAATTACAGACCCCCTAGCTTAGACCGGGTTTGGACAATCAGAGCTGATTAGGTGTCAGCTCTTACCAAAAAGCATTTCCACTTGCACTTCTTATTTCCAAAACTAATTCCCCACTATGTGCATTTTTCTCAGTCATTTGCTTTTCTGATGTGTGTGTAAAATGTGATTACTTCATATTTATATAAACATTATGCAGTGTTTCATTACATAATGGCATTGGTGGATTGTTTATTAGGGCCAAAATTAAAAAGGTGCTCTGCAATGAGCTTCTTATGCAGACAACCCAGCGGCCTTCAGAGAAAATCCACATCTAATGATTACATGTCTGTCAATCTGGAGCCCTCTGTGGCCCGTTTGCCTTTTAAGATTAATATGAAAGAATGGAAGCAAATTGGCTGCTAAAGCAGAGCAGAGTTGTTTCCATACTGAGGGGCCATTACACACACACATGCTCTACCCAATATTAAGCACAGAACACTTGATCCACTACTATTGCCACTGGCATCTTCCTCAGAACTCAGTCTGAACTAGCAAACACAAGTATGTGGCATAGGTAGTATACAGTACAGTATACAAAATGAAAGTCATTGTGATCACGAGACACAAGATACACAAACATACAGTATCTACCATGACAGACTACCAATACAATTACTTAGGAGTACAATTCAGCTGATGTGCAATTACTTACGTTATCTTATGTTATGAGCTGATGTCTAATATGTATATTATCCAACATATATTATTATAGTTGTTTCTCACCTGGTAGTAAAGGTCTCATACTTGCTTTCTGGCTGTTGTTTCTTTTGCAGAACCCATCTGGAGCACTGCGGAAAATAGATGACCAGCCTAATATAAAATCTAACCCTTCCAATTTGGATTTATAGTCTCCTGAACTCAGTGGGGAGGTTAGCATGGCAGGTAATTAACTCTGAATACTGTGTGATTAAATCTATGCCCCAGTCTCATCTCTGATAGAGAAATTCAATCAAAGTGTTCATTTAGGAAAACTGCATTAAACAAGTTAAAAAAAAACCTACACAGTTTACTGTAACTTCCAGCTAAAGGTCTTTTTGTTTGTTTTGTTTTTACTGGCGTTTGTTGGTTGATTTGTTCACCGCATAACTCATAAATAAGGAATGATTTTGATCACATTTTTGGCCCACTGAACAATTAATTCGATTTTGGTGCTGATCCAGATCATCAACGGGATCCAGGATTTGTTTTTAAGGATTCTCACCATTGTGAGTTTTGGAAAGGCTGCTGACTGGATGTGACCCCCTTGTGGTAGAAGTGTGCAGCTGAGCACTTGTAGTGAAGACAAGTGGAGCCAATATGTGTAACAGGAGGCACGTTGGAAAACAGACTTGTATACAAACCAAATGGTGTGAGTTGTGTGCATCTATGAAGGACGGTGAGCGCACTTTGTCAGTCTGCAGGAGACGTTTATTTAGCTGTTTATGGCCTTTAGTAATCACTCATGTCTACTGTTTGTCTTGGATGACTTTCAAACTAAAAATGATATGCCAACAGTAGGTTTTCATGCTCAAGGAATCATATTGTCAGGATCAAACTGTCATGGGAATATTGCTTTTAGGTGTAATAGCTGCCTTGGTGAAGGTCTAGTTGGATTAGTCATTTAAAGAGGCAAAGCATTACATCAAGTATAGAATTAATCTGGTGTAAATTTATAAGTAATAATATAATATATTCACATTGAGATTTTTTTCTTACAAAGTTTATAGGCATTGATTATCAGAACTTCAATTCTGAGGTTTTTCAAAATGTTCATGCAGAAAGAACTGAGGACAAAAGATCAGTTCCATAATCAATTTGTTTTCCCCAGCAAAGGATTTGAAGCACCACAGTCCAATTTGTTTAATATATAATTTTAATGCAAAACTTGGATTTGCGGGTGATTAAATGCAAGTTTATGGCATGGGCCATGCATGCAAAGACGACACCCACCTTGGCATCAGATTCCCTGATGAGTCTCTGAGCCTCTTTGAGCTTGTCTTTCTCAATAGTTAACTGTGTACAACACACACACACACACCAGACACACACCATTGTAACACACACGTCACAACACAGGGCAACAGAGAGGCATAAATAGGGGTGGGTTAGACAGACAGAAGAAGAACACTAGTAAAGGTAAAATACTCACACCAAACACAAAAAAGGCAGAACAGAGGCAGTGGAAAGAGCATGTCCCTTACACAGATAATGACCATGGTAGTGTAGTGTTATAATCCCATTTTGTGTGAATGAGCTATTTGACGTGCAAAAGGCAAAATGTACTATACTTTTACAAGTAAAACAAGATGTAATCTATCTTCAAAAGGACACGAGTGTAGAGCACTGACTGAAGCATGAAAGGAACAAGGTACAGCAGCACTGACAGTTGCTGCACCTTCAAAACCCGTCTTCCCGCTCCCTTTTTGGCATCGCAAAATACATTTCAGCTTAACACTCTTAGATGTGTGATGGGTATTGATTTCACTGTGCACTCTTTGTTTTAGAAATGTACTAATTTTGCTTTGATGTTTCACTCTGTCCAACCTTACCAAAAGAAAGAGAGTATTCTACAGCAACTGAAATGTAATATTTTTATGGAGTCATTCCTACAGAACGCCTCATACTATGGATGTAGAAAACTAAATATTTAATGTGTGTAATGGAAAAGGAGGTGGACTTTTTTTGTGGGGTAACTTAAAAAGAACTCTCATTTTGCAAGACTTCTGGAAAATGTTAGTAAAGTGCAATATTTAAAGCAAAGAGGAGGTTTATTTTATCTTTCATCCTCGGGGATTAAAATTTAGAGGCTTTGAGACAGCTCAGTTTTAAAGAACAAGCCAGAAAGATTTTCAGCAGGCAGAGTATTTCTGAAAGTACAGCAACCCTAGCCACCATTCTCCTCAGAACTGTAAATTTAAGGATTTATGTACGATGGTGAATTTAACTATGTTTCTGGTTCTATCTCATAACAGCAAGACACACATAATAGTGACTACACCAGGTTCGGCTGTCATTATCAGTTGAGTGGAATTCTTTAATCAGCCAGGACAGAAAACAGCCTGGCAGTAAAAGAGAGAGAAAGTGGTCTACTATACCTCAAGGTCCTCTTGGGGGCCAAGCTGGGTCAGCTACTGTACAAGACCGCCACGTTGTTAAAACCTATTAATGGGGTGGTGTAGAGTGCTCCAATGTAGCACTGCAGCGCTACATTATTCATCACATCCTGAGCCAATGCAATGAACAGCTTTCTTTTTTGCCTTGAATGGGTGAAAGCAAAGGATTGGGGAGGGGTGGATGATTTCCTCTTGTTGTGATTTCTGGGTCCTTTTGTTGATGTTTACAGGCAGAACCTCAACTCCACTCAACTCAATTGGGGGATAATCAAACAGACGCATCAAACAGGCTGCTTGTTACAATGCCAAAGTTCCCAGCAAAAGACTCTCATTAAATGTGTTGCTTCACAAACAAGGTGAAGCGAAGCGGCTCAGGCATGCATGCGTTTTAATATCTGACAGGAATTCAGTCTAGGAGATGAAAGGTTGGGGTTAGCTCCCACTTCATTCATATTCAGCTAAATGGCAGTGATAGCACAGCAGCTTTGATGGGCAAACTGGATGCTTGTCCTCGCACTGATTTAAAGGTTCTGCGCTCTCACAGCTAATGGCTTTCTACAGCACTGTGTCAGACATGAACTAGTTTGCAAAGCTCTCGTTCAGCCTAGCCTGCAGACAGCCATCTGAGGGGATGACACTGCTTGAGGTAGCAAGCAAATAGTCTATGATCACCTGCCAAAAATTTGAGGTCATGAGGTAACTCAGAATTGTTATTACAGCACTTGCATAATTTAGAATATTAATGAAAAAAAAAACAGCTTCAGCCCCGAGCACCCCAAAATCAACTCTAATTACAATTAAATTCATCTGTGAAGTGCAGTGAAATTTCCCTGCACTTTTCTTAAACTTGAACAGATAAAATGAATTGACAGCAAAGTTTACTTAAACTTAATACTAAGTTAAATATAAATACAAATATACTGTACTGTATATACTATATTTGTGCTTTGTCAAAATGCATAGGGAATGTGCATGACGTCTTTATGGCCACATTCATGCAAGTTCCTGCCAAACAAATTATGTGTTTCCCTGTTGAGGTGAACATCTGGTGATGTGCATCTCTCCAGCAGAAACGGCTCTTTGAAGGAGCATTCAGACAAACAGATGAAAAGAGGGTTTGACTCTCCAGGGTTTCTTTGCTTTACTCTATCTGTTAATGCACCACAATCAGCCAGTCTTCAAAAGACAGAGGCCGACAGAAGAAGGTGAAAGAAAACTGTGTGATAGGGAAGGGGAAACAACATAAAAAGCTCCCGCAAGGTAAAGGGAGCAGGCAAAGGTAGCAGAACCTGATGCATTCATATCTGACAGAAGGCGGAAAAAGGAGAGTGCAAAGGAGAAAACCTGAGAGCAGGTGGAGCAGGTGGAGCAGAGCCTTTCTGATGTTCTAACTAATATGGGTGTGCAGTAATCAGGTAGAGTGAGTGATGAAGAAATTTGAGTAGAAATGCAGGTAAGGAAGGGTGACACAGCAGTCAGGCATATGAAGTGCAGGAGTGAAACATACACACAAATTAAGGGTGGCTTTGCCCAGGACAAAGACTGTACCACATAACATCATTTGCTGAGGCCCTAAAACGGACCGATGAGTGGAGTAACAATAAGTTATCACTGAGAAAACTCCCACATATGCAGGTGCAGTTTATCAGACAGGGAGTGCCAACATAAGTAATGAATGTTTGAAAGGCAAAGCAATCCCTGATATCTTTGTAGCCATACCATCTTTCAGTGCTGGTTTATATTAAATTCCCTAAACAGGGAGGCATACTGGCCTTTTGTCCTGCGGTAGTGCTAAAGTGTTTAAAATTGGGTTAAGGGGGAAATAGCAGTCATTTTCTGTGCTCAAAACAGGGTTTTTGCTTGGGAAGAAATGATGTGAAGGCCAAGAAAAGAAATGCAATCCATCTCTGTGATGATAGAATTACATAGGAAAATCTTCAATAGAGCAATTCAGCCATATAAGGAGCTACAACTTAAGGAGATTGACCCTTTATTAAATCAAATGTTCTTGCACAGATGGTAACTCCCACTTACAGCAGCAGTACATCTGTAGGTGGAGAGGGAAGGTATCCTTCTGCCCAAATCAGCTCTTTTTTCTAAAGCCGCCATTACTTTTCTTTTAGTCTGCATCCTGTAAGTCAGTTTTTCACAAAAACATCTATCAAACTTATTAAAAGCGCCTCTGGACACTGGACTTTTCACTATCTTCTTTTTTTCATGTTTTTTTGGGAAACATACAGTACGATATAAAAGACCTCCGGAGGAATGTAACAGTGTTTCGCTGAGTAAAGGGATTTCTCTTTATAGATTTACCTGAGATCCTAGGGCCTGGATCTTTGCCTCCAACTCTTTGATCATCTCCTCTTTCTTTTGAGACTCAGCCTGGGCCTCCTGCCGTGCACTGAACTCCTCATCAAACTGCAAGAAAAGTCACAATTATACAGTAAATGTGCATATACCAAGCATGTATGCACAGATGTAAACATAGAGAATGGCCACAGGGCACATCAACAGACACCAAAACACACAGTCTTACACTCTCTGGTCGATTTCTATTTATAGCCCTCGTGGCCCTCGAGCTGTTGTCTTTTGACTTTGTTTCAGGCCTTGCTTTCATGTATGTGGATGGATCTAACCTTTGCAGAAGCCAAGCCATGTCACTATGATTTCACTGCCTCAGCAGGGTGCATGTGGGCTCTTGGGGTGCAGGGGGGGCAGGACTCTTGAGGAAATTACCTAGGACCCCTTGGTGTTAACCAGACAGTGGCAGTGAAAAATAATTTCCATACCATACATAATATGTTGGAGACAAGCTCTGACATTTGATTTCTCTCAAATAAATGCAAATTTTATCAAACAATCAATTAATCAATTAATAGAAACACATGTAGGATTAAGAGAGAATCCCTAAAAGGACTGGCTTAAAAAGCAGAACTGTATCAAACAAGCCTGTACATGACTTAACTCTGCCTGGGCATTGTGAACAAATAAATATATAATCAGGACATCAACATTGATTCTTGTAATGCTGATACGGATCATGTAGCATCACAGCCAGGTATTGATTAGGGCATGGAAAATCAATAGCTTGTCTGGAAGCTCTGAGGAAGAAAAAAAAACTTTCCTGATGGGAGCTGGGAGGGAGCCAACCAAGGGGGGCTGCTGGAGTGATTAATGTCTCACCTTCTTGGAGTACTCTGCAGCTTTCTGCTCACTCTCTTCAACTTTGGCTTTATCCACACACTGATCTGCAAGACAAGACAGCCACAGTCACGAAATACTTCAAAGCTATCTCTGGGTGCAATATGCATCGTAAGCTCCTCATTCGAGATTTACAATTAGACCTGCAGTTTGTTTTCAATGCGTATTAGAGCTGGTATGATTGGAATTTTATCTTGAATCATCTTTTAGGTCTGTGAGATGTTTACAACTTAAGATGGCCGTAAAAATGTCACAACATGGGCGTCTGTGTTTGTTCAGAAGGAAAATTAGCACGTCATCGTCTCCCCAAATAGTCATTTAACTTAGCATTTCAAAGTTCAACAAATTATGATTACATTTACAGTATATTTAAAGTACTGTATCCATTTGTATACTTGCAATGAGATACTAAAATCCAGTAGTGGACCCACATAAAGACTGGCTTCATAGTACAATCAAATCTTGGTACAGATTGTGTTGTACGTTCATTTTAAATGAACTAATTTGCCATTTTTGCCCATCTTCTCTCAATAACCAATAACAACAAAGTGCAAAATCTGAAATTGTTGCAAATTTATTACAAATTAAAAAAAGAAATTTCGCATTTATAAAAGTATCTAGACCCTTAGCCGTGGCACTCCAGATTAAAATTAACAGAAGGATGAAAGCAGCCAAAATACAGAGAGAACCTTGAAGAAAACCTGCTCCAGAGTGACCTGGGGCTGACGCACCGGTACATCTTTCAGCACGACAGTGACCTGAAGCACACAGCCAAGGTAACACTGGAGCAGCTTGAGGACAAGTTTGTGACTGTCCTTGAGTGTTCCAGCCAGAGTCCAGATTTAAACCCCACAGAACCTCTGTGCAACAACTTGAACATGGCAGTTTTCACCAACTGGATCAACTGCCCGAATCCAGGTGTGTAAAGCTTGTTGATTTACCCAAAAAGAGTCATAGCTAAAGCTTTAATTACTGCCGAAACCGAAGGGGCTTCTGCAAAGTACCGAGTCTGAATACTGAACTCTTTTATTTTTAATAAAATTGCAGTTTCTAAAAACGTTTTCCCTTTGTCATTATGGGTTATTAAGTGAAAATTGATGGACATAATAGCAATTTATCTATTTACAATTAAATGTACAACACAATAAAGTGTGCAAAATGTGAAGGCACTGTATGTCTCCCATTAAAGATTTTATGAAACAGATTTACATAGTGAAATGCAAAACTTGGATTAGAAAATAAATTGAAAAAAATATCTGTTCTGGGAAAAAACAGAGACAAGACACAACATGGGCAGCTTTGGTGACTGTTGCATTAGCTGTGTTAACCTTGTGAAGAAGGGACGAGAAGAGAAAGTGTTTTCATATGATCGATAACCGCCATACTGTGCAGACATGCCAGCTCTCGCTCTCTCTTCGTCTTCTCACCAACAGAGATATCATTAAATAACAGGAATCACCCTCTAAGAACTGTGATCTGTTGATTGAGGATGTGCGTCTTAATATATCAGAATAATACTAATAACTTCACCGACCACTGTTTTCCTTTTTGTGTGCGTTTAAATCTTGTAGTTTTATTGACAGTATAAAAGTTTTAAGTGTAAATTACTGATCACACATCTCACAAGTCACTTTACCTCTGAAAAATAATTATTAGGAAATAACACCCAAAGGTAAATGAAAAATGAAAACAGAGAAGAAAACAAAAAAGACAAAGGCAGTTTTCAAAAACCACGTAGATGCAGAATCTAATTCCACACATCTCTTGTGCGACATTAACAAAACACATCCTTGAAGATTTTTATTAGCTGATTGAATCTCAGTGAGTGAGTGAGAAAACTTATTTAGTACTACATCACTTCCCTGTGGATAGGTTTAGAAACTTTTAATGATCTTTTGTTGGCAAGTCACAGAACTGTTAGTGGCATAACGGAAAGAGACAAAGTGGTGTTAATTCTTTTTTCTTTTTTCTCTTCATTAGTATTGCACTGCAACTAAATGTTCTCTCCATGATTCCTGAATCACAGCTGACAAATTCCCTAAGTGAGAAAAATGACATTTAAAATTATTCTGCATGAACTGAATTTATTTCACCCAGATATAATGTATTATTTATCAATAATTAGATGACCGCATCTTATATGTCGAGCCACTGTAATCTCAGGGGGGGCGTGGGTGAATAAGATTAAAAAGAACAAAAAACTGATCTGGAGGATGGTTCAGCATCTTAAAAACAAGTTGTGAAGACTTTTTATTGTACTAACATTTACTTTTATTACGCATTTCACACTTCTGCCAACGCAGAAATTAATATGTAATAAAATATAAAGCAATTCCAAAAGTACCAATCAGATGGGTGAAGTCCACATCCAATCTTTTACTGTAGCCAAAGTCAGGGTCCATCCCACTGCGATGAAGGACGACCTGCGACACGCATTCTTCTATCACCTTGTAGTACTGAGGCCTGGGGGGGGGTCAGGAAACATAAAGCAGTATAATTACACAAGCCACAAAAAGATATGAGTGACACAAATTCTACAAGGCTAATTAACCACAAATTATTCCCTTATCCCAGCTAGAGGTCACAAAATGCCATGTCAAAAAGGGTGCTGCTGGAGAAAATAGACACCCTATTAAATTTGATCACTTGCTTCACCTCCATCATGAAATTAGCAGATTAATGGGCACGCAGAATCCAAGTCTATGCGAGTCTGTCCATTTCAAGGTGACAGACGGTAGCCGAGGTGATGCCTGCCCTGTTGCCTAATTTGCAATCATCTTTGCCAATTAGAGCAACCATAAAAACTGAAATGTAAATCTAATCAGTGTAATGCGTGTAACTGAAAGCACAACGACCGGGAAACATGTCAGCCAGTTAGGAGTGTGCCTGAGCGGTTGGTGTTGTCGAGCAGGGTGTGGGAATCAGCCAGCCAGTCCTATTCCACCACACAGGTTACTACATGACCTTTTCTCTGTAACATTATCAGCTTAAATTGCAAGTGACATTTAACAAATACAATGCCAGCTTAAGCTGAACTCTGAACTGAGAAATAATTATTTTCGTGCATGACAGTACCAGAAGTTTAAACTCGCAACTGAAACAACTTGTTTTATATTCATCTAAAGACTAATTTCTATTCCTGTAAATTGTTAAGTTGAGATTTAAAGTGAGGTACAAAATAATGATTTTCATAAATAATGCCATAATAAAGTGACAAAAGAACAACTCCACCTGCATGTGGTCATGACCAACTAATTGCTGCAATCGGTGTGAACGGCTGGGCAATCGCAACTCTGGTATAGCGCTGTGAAATCTGCAGTAGTGGTGGAGCAGGATAAATGCATTACTAGTAGATGGAACACTATCAGCAGCTGCTGGTGTAAGGACAGTGCAATGATTTAATAATCACATCAGCTCCTTTTTAAATACCAGTTTACTAGTGGGCACAGTGGAGGCTATGTTCGTCTATAAGTCCCAAAGCACAAATGTACGGCACAACACATGCTTTCACTGCTACAACAGCTGACGTCCCTTTAATTTACAGAAATTCTTATTTTACAAAACAATGGTATCTTTATCTGCATCAAAAAGATGGCCGATTTCAACACTCGTATGATGAAGTTAATGTATTTTTAGCTCCCTAAGACTGTCCAGTGGATTTATATAATGAATAATTGAAAATCAGAGATGCTCAAAAGACATTTTATGACAACTTTGATCCAGATAAAAAGCTCAAAGTCTGATCAAAGCCTGCCTGTCTGATGGCTCTGCATGAAAGCATTAAGAGGAAGGAGCACTAATGTTACTGAAATGTAATAACTGATTTGAGAAGGAAGAACTGTGAAAAAAGTACATGTGCCAACTGGGTTAATTTTGTGTAAGACCAAAAAAAGCACATACATTTAAGCATGTGTCTGAGCAAAGTCAAACACGTGATAAACAGCAATATTTTTTCAAATCAAATTTTAAATGGGATGACGATGACTTCCAAGGCTGTGACTCTAACCGCTGCTCATAAATTCATAGGCTATGTTCTGTTGGTACCTTGTGGGTGGACAGACCACATCATGTTATAAACAGAAATATGACAAAACACAAAATTCTCAGCCAAAGCAAATAAGAATAAAGCACCGTTTAGGTGCACTGTTTTGAAAGCATAAAATGCCATACATGAGCTTGAGCTGGCAGGTTCGCCCACTCACGATTGGAACCAGCCAGTGAAAGCTCTCACTTCGCCCTGCACGCCTTAAACACTGTGGAACTCGGCTTACAACTGTCACCAATGTACACCATATTATTATCTCAATAAGCCGCCCTATTTTTCCTTCATCCTCCATCCTTCGCCACTACCAAGCAGATAGGGGCTGGGTGGAGATAACTAGAGATGAGGAGAGTGACCCAGAACTGTCAGGCCCCTCTGCAGTAGGCAGGGCTGGGCTCCAGAAACTACCATATGTCCCCTCCATCATTCCCCACCTCTTCTATTACTTTGGTGCCTTCATTTCTTCCAATGACAGCTTGCAGTGGAGCACAGCCCCAGCCACTTGATCCAGCTCTGCTCCAGTTAACCAGTGTAATCCCCATATCACCAGGCTCCAAAAGAACAGATCTGCTCTAAATTTACTGGGTGGGTTCGATGCGCTCTCATTCATTAGAATTGCACTGAGAGATTAATTATCAAAAATAAACCAAGCCCTGGAGGGGAGAGCAACAACTCATGTTTTGTTAAAGGAAATGACACTAGACAGAGTAACTGAACAGTCTGCCCACTGAAAACTGTCTTAGTACCAAGTGTACTATCAATTTGAATGAATATAATGGGAAAAACAACTTAATCCGTTAATTCAGGTAGATTTATGAGAAGAGGTGCATCCCTTTTATCACAAAGTCAAAGTCTGTCATACCTACATAAGTTTACATACACTTAGGTTGAAGGAATTAAAACTGATTCTTGGTGGCAAATGGGTTTTCCAAATGGACCACAAGCAGACTTCCAAAGTTGTGGTAAAAAGGCTTAAGGACAACAAAGTCAAGGTACCGGAGTGGCCATCACAAAGCCCTGACCTCAGTCTAATAGAAAACCTGTGGCCAGAACTGAAAAGGTGTGTGCGAGCAAAGAGGCCTACACACCTGACTCAGTTCCACCAGTTCTGTCAGGAGGAATGGGCTAAAATTCCAGCAACATACCGCAAGAAGCTTGAGGAAGGCATCCTGAAATGTTTGACCGAAGTTAAGCAATTTAAAGGCAATGCTACCAAATACTAAGCAAGTGTATGTAAACCTCTGACCCAGTGGGAATGTGATGAAAGAAACGAAAGCTGAAATAAATCTTTTTCTCTTTATTCTGACATTTCATATTCTTAAAATAAAGTAGTGATCCTAACTGACCTAAAACAGGGAATGTTTATAGGATTAAATGTCAGCAGTTGTAAAAAAACTGAGTTTAAATTCATTTGGCTATGGTGCGTGTAAACTTCTGACTGTTAACACATCCTGCCCTCCCAGTTTTAGTTTCTCTCATGTTGTACAAGTATTATACCATACTGTTTCACATTAAGCCAGTTTTATGCACATGACAAGATGGTGACTCTAAGGGCAAAGACTGAAAAAGATGTATACCATCTATTGAACATAGGCACATGCACTGTAGTCCTGCATCTTCCATCATCCAAACCCCACAGCAGTGACACTTCAGTCAGAATGCATTCCTGGTGTTAATGTCTGCACGTGCCCATGTGTGGGCTTGACTTTACACTTGTGACTGAGACTAGAAGAAAAAATCTATAAAACATCTAGAATGACCATTAATTAATTTTTTTGAAGGAGCACCTTCTTATTGCTGGCTGAGGCACATGGACAGTGCAGCTGAGGTGGACACAGCTGTACTAGCTGGTTAATGTGAATTCTATTTCTCACTTCCTCATATAGACAAAGGATACATTATTCATAACACTGAGGGAACAGCAACTTGTCTATAGTAAATTCATCTTCCTCCTCTCATTCTCCCTTCATTTTCCAACTTTCATATTTATTCTTATTTCTGCAAAAAAGTCTGACACAGCAGCGAATGCTTCAGTGTCGCTCCATTCAGAGGAGTGGCAGCCTTCCTGACCAGTGACCGACACATTTGCTTTTCAAAGATAAAGTAGAGAACTAGCCCCGCAGTTAGTTAATAGTTTCAAATAAAGTAATATCCCTACTCTGATAATTTGTTTTTCCAAATTTTTGCTACACAATAACTTCACCTATCTTTACAGCATCTGCTGTACGGCAACTCACACTGGACTACAGTGCAATGTTAACAAGCACCGTGTGCTGGCTGTGCACGACAGACCTATAGCTTTGAACACAGAGTTCAGTAAAGTGATTCCTCTATACGTGATGAAGTGTGAAGTCACTTTAATACTATGGTCCTGTTCAGTACTAGCCAAGCGAGTTCAGAGCTACAGGCTAGAGTGCATATCCCAAACTGCTTTGCCTCCTACTGGTGACTATGAGGCTGAAAGTCTAATTATTACTGAATGGTATTAGCGAATAAAATTAGTGGAGATGTTGATGTTGTCATAACAACTGATAATTAGGATGTATGTACACCAGGCTTTAAGTTAGCTGCCACCTGTCATACATTTTACACGTTACACATGAGCTTATGTGATGTTTTATCATGTTTTGCTTATTTTTATCATGATTTGTGCATTTTATGCTTCAGTCTGCGTGTCCCCTATGTATCACCAGATCACAATACAGATTTCAACAATCAAGTTAAAATGATTAACTTTCACAGGCAACATTTCTAGGTAAAAGTGATTGATCTAATGGTAGCTCCACTGAGGCAATAACTATTTCCTATAAGTATTGAACAAATGCATTCATTCATTCATGCATTCATTCATTGATCTACTGTAAAAACAAAGAAATCAAAAGCTAAAACTACTGAAGCATCATGAGGTTGTAGCTCAATAAATATGCCAGTGGCATATAACAATCACATGTAACGTACCTGATGTAATAGTCGTTCCTGATGAGCAATAGGTGCTGAAGGACTGAGAGGAAGTAGGTCTCCGAGGCAGTGTCTTTCACCATGTTGGACAGAAGATGGTACACCTCATTCAAATCAGTGCAGAAGCAAGGTTAAGAAAATGACTTTACATAATGAAGTTGTTAGTTTTTAGACTTAATTCTGTTACTGTATTTCAGCTCATGCCTTGAGAAGACACCCAATGTGAATTCATTATTCAGGTGGATATAAACATTAAACTTTTTATTAGTTCTTGTTTTATTTATATCTTTTTATTTTCCCGGTTCATTGCCTCAAGTTTTTTGACAGGCATCTTTGTGCAGAAGCAAATGGAGATGTGATTCCTCTTATCCATTCTCTCTCAGGGGAGCTGAAACTGTGTAAACAGCTAACTTGAGGAGGGGGATTGGCAATAAAGAATGCTCCCTCTGGTTTACCTGTCACTCCAAACCTTTCAAGATAGAGGTAATTAATTGCATGAAAAGCTCACTGGTTTGAATGTTTAAGGCAAGAATGATGGGTAGCTGAACATCTGCAAGGAAAAAATATGACTGAGGTTTAATTCACAGACTGAAAATGACATGTACACACAGGAAACAGGTTATTAAATTTGTAAGGCTATTGATTTTGCATCTTTTGTCTGCCCTGCCCATGAGGAAGCAGTGATGGATTTGATATCTAAAACAGATGTTAAATCCAACTGTCTTATGATATATTTTCATAACTATATCAAATAGTATATTTTTATTTTCTGTTGAGCATTTGTTTTTCAAAGTATTATTAATGAAGCCAATTAGTCAACGAAGTACTAAGAGGGATATTTACTAAGGTGTTGCAGCTCATTTTCTGGCACTAAACTGAAACTGCATGTGTTCATATTTACTAAAGAGTGGCAGTGGGGTTTAGTGGTGGAGGAATTTGTGTTTGGTCTTGTGTAAAATGTATTTTACAGCGTTCCAATTCAAGGACATAAACATCAGGGAGGACAGAAGAGAGATTCATACAAAGATTCTCAGTGCCTGGTTTACCACATCTGCGACGGAGAGAACTGCAGCTGGAATTCAACGTCAGGATAAAGCAGGTGTAAAATTTGAGTTAAGAACATGTTTGAGGAGGGAGAGAGTGTTTGTAAATCCCATCGCTCATGAGAGGAAAATGGACTCGTACAGGCTTTCAGGTCAATCTACGCTTTAATTGCGAAACAAAAAAAAATTTTCTGGGCCGGACACTATGTGATTGAAGTTAAGAAAAATGTTTGTTGATTTCTTCAACTGTATTAAAGTTTGGTCACTGTAAACTTAGATTTTCTTCCACACTTCTTCTCGGTCCACGCGTGCACAACAGCCTCTAGGTAGCAGATCCGAAGCCGAACAGTATTCAAATTAACACAACTGTGGCCGTTGTAGTAGTAAATGCAGAGCCAAGTACAAAAAAATTGCACATTTTTAAGGGTTAATCTGAAAATTTTGTGAATGCATTTCTTGATTCTTTGCATTATTTGTCAGGTTTGATCAACAGCTAATGAATGATGAAATATTACAAGAATAATTCTAATCATTTACTTCCACAATAAAGAAAAAAGCCTTAACTGCTTTCTCCATTTCTCATCCTATCATCCACATAAAACAATCTGCAGCCTCTGCAAATGGAATAGATCGATTCTTTTAAATACAGTTTGACACTTTTCCTATTAATTCCAACAATGGCTGTAATTAAACTCTTATCCCATATCAAATTTTTAGAGACAGAGGGATGGGAATACAGGCTTCTATAAAGTATCATTTCCCTCCAGTGTATTAGCTGAGTATGAAGCCTGGGAGAATAACCAGTCCTGTGAGATTCAATTATAGCTGCACCACAGCAGCATTTGAGAGGACATGAGAAGGAGCTCAGACTGGGAAAGTACCCAACTAGCTTCATCTATCACTAAGCTGCAGACATAAACCTAATGTAGAATGCCAATCCATTCGCTGACACCCCCTTCTATCCTCGCCTTCTCTCTCTGTCTCTCTCTCTTTACATTCTCTCTCCAAATAATGAATAAACATAAGTCACAGTCGAGTGTAATGTAGGCCAGTCAGTGGTGGGGTCAATCAATCACAATTCCACAGCTCATTAATATTTATTTGTGGCTTGGAGTCATCTCCTCTGCACCTGGACCTGGGCCGGACACAGAGGAGACAACCCTCTCCAGGTTAATATTCATGAAACCGCGCTGAGAAACAACACACATATGCAATGCTCAGGTAGTTTAAGTACTACTTGTGCGATATCAAGCACGTACAAAGGTGTGTGTGCTATGGAGGCAAAGGGACAAAGGGAGGCATTCGAATCATGCTCGGAGCTCGCAGATCAATACTGCATTGTCCTTGGAAACAAACATAAGGTCTTCTCATTTGTGAACCTGCTCAAGCACATCATTAATCGAGGTGCCCTTTTTTCCTCTCAATCGTCTCTCCTCACACACTCACACACACACGCGCATGCATACACAACCTTCTCCTTTCACCTACATGTGTCACCAGAAACTGTCACTCACAGCAGCACTTTGTGCCTGTCCTAGAACTGTGGGATTTGGTGGAAGAAAGAGACTGTTAGAATTAACATCTGCATAACAATGTCAGTATCTAGTTTGTCTGCCCACAGTGCCAGCCATTCATACATAGCCTTAGAGAAGATTTGTGAATTATTAAAGGGCTGCTCTCTGGAATATTTGAAGAAGTTTCCAACTTGGGACTAAATTACTGCTCACCTTAGTGACTTCTACTCTGCACGTTTGGAGTTAAATGGACATTGTTAGAAAGTTGGAGGAGAAAATTCACATTTCCACAGTGGAACAAAGAAACAAGGAGTGATAATACTTAGACTGGTGAAACACTGACCATATAACTCACCTGTATATTGTGCATAATAAACTATAAGAACGGGAAAACATACGTCTGTTAGGGATCTTCCACTTGATTCTTACAACAGTCCTACTTAACCCAATACAAACAGAACAAGAACAAGAAGTAAAGAGGATATTGAGAGGAGAAGAGAAATAAAAAAAAAACAGAATGAAGAAGTGGGAGGTTTGGATGACAGGGTTATTTACCAAGTATACCTGGTCAAAGACAGAGCTGGATATTGTGCTCCGACTCCTCAAGTCCCTCTCTAATAAACCAGGCCCTGAGGGGCTTTAGCCTGTAAAGTTTGACCAAACCCACGACATACACTTCTGTCTCACTGCTAGCAGTGATAATGATAGTGCAGGCCTATCTGTACATTCACAAAAAAGGATATTCCATCTCAGCACGGATGTCATCTAGGCGGTGGGAGAGTTCGATTGAGTCCTCCTCCTTGTTCTCAGTGAACACCTTCAGCTGAATGTCTAGCTCCTCTGTCTCTTTTAGCTCCTGGAATGAGTTAGACAATGTGATATTTTACAAAAGGTCATCCTGCAATGTAGATTATGATACAGTAACACCACCTGCACAAAATACTTTACATATAGCTTGTACCAATTCACTACTCTTAGTGTTTGAATGAATCTTCTCAGACCTTTGCAGTAATCTTATACTTAATCAGACTGATTCTAAAAAAACTGTACCAAAATGTTAGTTTTCCTGTTCCAGCTGCACAGAGAGCCAAAAACTGAGATGCCCCAAAACCTCTCATTACACATTCCAGACTGCACACCTGTTCCAGCCTCAAGGGGCTACAGGGGTGCTCTTTACCATTTCACTATGAATCACGAGCAGTGGAGTTTACAAACAGAGACACGGCCAAATGTAACCCAATTTCTGCAGGTATCAATAACCTTGCACCGTTTTTGGGGTGCACCATCTGTCTTCAGCAACGCTGGTTTGGAGGGCGGTGCACAGTGTCACAAAAGAGTAGAGAAGGAGAAGAGGAGAGGGCCAAATAAATGCATCAAGGACTGTAAGGACAAAACAAATTGTGCTTTCTTTTCCGGTAGAGTTTATTTTTTCTTCGCCAACAGTTATGCTGACTCCTGAGCATAACTCATAATTAGATGAAAGAGTTTCAATTTGAGTGTCGCATTGAAAGTGGTGAACGTGCCATTCATAAAATGACGATACACCGAGACTCCTTCATATCAGGGGGCAGAATTGAAGATAATTAAAGTAACGACAGCAATAATCAACAGGAGCAGCTGGGATGACTTATTAACAACTGGCTCCATGACACGCTCACCCCACTCACTACAAATGAGAGCTTGAGTGATGAGTTGGAGCTCGTTTGCCTTTGCCTCATGTGAAGTTGTGTAAGCTTGCTGATAATGATTCCAGGACCTGTGTGATGAGGTGACAACACCGCACCACACCTGATACAAGCTACTAGTAGTAGCATTATAACACCACTACTACTAGAAATTAAATTCGTTATAATAAAACACAGTAGGGCTGCACAATTATGGCAAGAATCATAATCACAATTATTTTGGTCAATAATGAGATCGTGATTATTTAATACGATTAATCATTGATTTAAGAAACATCATGCATTTACTGAACTTGTCTTTTAACAGGGTTTATTTTGAATGTCATGATTCAACTGAAGAACAAATTAAATATTTCATCTACCTAATTCAGTTCAGAGAAAATTACTGCTTAGTCTACAGTTATTTTACAAATAAAACTATGCTACTTCAGGTTAACAACATTGCCTGTCATAACCTAAAAAAAATTGGCTCAATCTGCTGGGCTCAACACAAAACAGCCATATCTACACTATCTCTCTCCCTCTCGTTTAACATTAAGGCTACATCTTTCGTTTCAGCTTGTTCATAACAAGTATAACAAGTTTGATATTGTTAGCACAAACTGCCAGCGCATGACGGACTGTGAGCAAAGCTGAAATGATCGCTTCTCTGCAAGTTTCTGCTGGTTTAGTGGGGGTTTTGATAGATTACTCTAATTGACTTTTTACTCATGTCAGTACAGAAACAAGCTTAGGTGTCGTCAACTCAAGTAACGTTTCACCTGATGCAAGCAAGGAACGTAGAACGCTGGACTTATGAGCTGGATTTATAACAAGACAAAACGAGAGCATGATTGTGAAGAGTGCAGCACAATAATCGTTTTATCTCAATTATTTTTTTTAATAATCATTGGATCGTAATTGAAAATGAAACTTGATTAATCACCCAGCCCTAAAACATATTATTTAGAATCAGAATCGGCTTTACCAGCCAGGTATGTTGAATTTGACTTCGGTACAGTGGCTCTCAATGTGCACGTGCAATGTTTTATTATTACAGTATGTCAGTTGTGTCATGTAACAAGCTCAACCTTGCGATTTCAAGTCACAGATTCAGGCCTCAAATCTTGTGAAGCTGATTTATTTTTATGCCCGGATTATTTGGTTTGACTGTTTAACTTTAACACATTTACATAAAACATTCATTTTATGTGCATTATTAAGTTGTTGCATGACTATAATCAAATATAATCTCAAATCTATTATTTTGAATTGAATTCATTCAAGATGTAATGTGCTGTACTGTAAGGCTACAAATGTGCTAGATGGAGATGCAAGATATAATCAAAAACCCTGGGAAGCATTACTATGATGCTGACAGAACTAACTGAAACCAATTGATATTTGGGCCAGAACCTCTTTCATGACGTCAGAAACAGAAGTAGAACTTCATGTGCTCTCTGATAGCTTGATAACTCACAGGCAGAATCTTTTTAAGACCGCATCTTAAGAACTCATTGCGCAGATGTATCCGGAAATCCAGGTCATCAGGGGAGGTAACCAAGGCATTGATCAGCTGCATGCAAGCCACCTGTGGTGGAGATGAAGAAAAACACATACAAAGAGAAAAGGAGAAAAACAAATGAGACACAAAACATATTGCATACGTAAAATTATGTAACAACTGTAAATGTCATTGGTTCCTTTCCGTGATGTGTTTTGTTTGCATTGACTTTTTCCTTTTCAAAACCAAAACTACAAAAAACATTGGACTGATGAGAAACGGGAAAGAGAAAGATGAGACA